AGCACCAGCTAGATTGAAAGCCAACGGTTATAATAGCTCGGACTTTCAAGTATGGAATGCTGATTTGTGTAGGGAAATTGGCGAGTTAGTGTCTAAAGGGCTTCGATTGTGTCTTTTAGTTATCGAACACAAGTTTCAGCATGTGATCTAACTGGTATTAAAAGTTTGCTTTATCTTCATCAGTGTTATAGCACTCATAAAGTACATTTTGCTTTCATCTTGTAATTGTCTAAGGCAACAACTGAAAATTATATATGAAACATTTCACATATATTTGGGCATTTGACAATGGTCAAGATTCTTTTAGTGACGTCAGTAATAACACTTAATGGAAGTATTTGCTTACATTATCCGAATGAAAAAAGATTTTGAATAAAGTTCTACTACTAACCAAAAAATCAGCCGATTTGATTGTACCCAAGCGGAGATATCTCAATTTTTTATCACACTGTTATTTATGGACCATCCTGCACTTCTCAATAGTATCGAATTGGCAGTCTAGCAAATGTAGTCTCACCAATACTCGTTCCTTATCATTTCTGATTCGACTCAGAATAGTAATTATTTTCTTTTTAATTTTCATGCATGTTTCTGTATTTTATTTTGTAATTCTATCATGAAATGTATTTCAATATAGAACTTTTTCGTGTGACCTACGCTTGGTAGTGTCTTCAAATATCAGTTTAACCTTTCTACTCAACATCCAAGATCTGATCAGTTTTATTTTTCGACAAATAGGAGCATCTTCTTCAAAGATTGAATCGAAATATTCATCATCGCTTACTGTAAGCAGTCCAACGTATTGTCGTACTACTTGCGCACAAGGAAAATTTTACTACGAACCCCTAACAGTGACCGTGGTCAAATCTGACAAATACTACTTTACTAGCAAGAGCAAGATTGATACATACGGTTATATTTACAACAACAGTTTCAATCCGTCCAATCCCCATCAAAATTTGCTTGCAGAATATAATGATGACGGTGAGAAGAAGCAGTTTAAGCTCAAAGTTTATCTTCTGTCTTGGAGAACATATGTATTGGTTACAACAACGTACTTGCCGAATGTGACGGGAACATTTTCAATTATTGCATCTGGTCCAACATCTGTAAGCTTTTCTTCGAACACCAGTCATGTGACAGCAACGAAGACAACACAAACAACAAAACCAAAGACAACAAAAACAACAAAACCAAAGACAACACAAACAACAAAGCCACAGACAACACAAACAACAAAACCAAAGACCACACAAACAACAAAACCAAAGACCACACAAACAACAAAACCACAGACAACACAAACAACAAAGTCACAGACAACACAAACAACAAAACCAAAGACCACACAAACAACAAAACCACAGACAACAAGACTAACAAGTGAGGACTCAGAAACTATTCAACAGTGCTTGTCTAGTGCAGTCGTGTAGTAGCCTGTAGAAAGATGTTTTGTATCAGTGGACTTATAGATGACTTAGCACAGATTATCTACTACGATTGTAGCATCATCCTTGAACAATACATCTATATTCCGAATTTATATTGACCACACTTTTGTAACAGGATAGGGCGTACAAAAATTTGAAATATTCGTCTCTACTCTGCACGATTCAGATATTAAATAGTACCATACAGATAGTGCATTTAAGTAGGGGGAAGATAGATTAGCCACTTGTTCAGTCCTTTTCTTTTCCCAACATATCTTGGATGTCTGTGTTGAAATCAAGTGACGGTTGATTCTTAAGGGGGGGGGGGGGAGGGACTGACCCCCTAGGGTATTGATTTTTTGTCCAGTTTGTAGAGTAACTGAAACTGCATATATCCTAACATTTTTATGACGTTATCACTCGTTTTGACAGAGTTATGGCTTCCACAAGTTATGAGCCTTTTGGCACCCTATGATACTATTCGTTTCAAAATAGAGTGCACCTGACTGTAAATTGGATAACTTTTGATAGGAAGAAGATAGAGAGCTGCGGTTTTCACCAGTGGGCAGAGGATGGTTGGGGCTATCCAGATATGTCATTTCTCATTGGTCAAGATATTGACCAATCAGATGATTTTCTTGATAGACATTTTCGGAGAAAATTTTCAAGGTCACTTTCTGATTTGATCTTGACTTCTGATACCACTATTCTACAGTAAAAATTTGTTCTCTGTTGATCTACGCGAACCCGACCTTTCTACGTTGTTCTTCTCGAGAGATATAAAGGTTTTCCTGAAACCCCCCTTTTGGCCATTTACGCTGTGATCACTTCAAAATACATCTAAGTAGGGGTTATCGACCACGCTGAGTCGAGTAGTGTTATTTATTTTCCGTTTCGAAGCGATCCA